AGAGAGAGAGAGAGAGAGAGAGAGAGAGAGAGAGAGAGAGAGAGAGAGAGAGAGAGAGAGAGAGAGAGAGAGAGAGAGAGAGAGAGAGAAAACTATCGGTGAATTTCCCGACATGTTTCGGCCGCCTCGCCGTAGCCGCCATCATCAGGGGTGGTTCGCGGTTACGAGGCTAAAAGACATACCTACTACCTCCTTAAGTGTTGATCCCACTGCCCTTGATTACCAGCTTGTACACTTACACCTACTCCTTGAACCCATCGTGACAAGATCCTGAGCCACAACCACCTTCACACACGTAGCTTCAGCAGCGTGGAAAATGGATCTTCTAGAAAGGCGAAGAGAGTTCTAAGCCAGCAAAAGAGAAAAGGGTGGTACCTTACTTCTAGACTGGTGAAGAAAGTTCTAAGCCAGCACACTAGAAAAAAAGACCACCTTGTAAGGTACCGCCCTTTTCTTGTGACCACTGGCACCATCTACGAGAAAAGCTACCTGTCATTCGTGCAATAATCATTGTAGAGATTATGGGTCTTGCTCCACTACACTAGACTCTAGAAAATACTCTAGAGTCCGTCTAGAGTTGTCAGGCTCTAGAAAATACTCTAGAGTCTGTCTAGAGTTGTCAGACTCTAGAAAGCAGCAAAAACGTTGGCCTCGCTCCACTTACAATCGAGGGGGCTACTCTAGACGGACTCTCTAACACTCTAATAAAAGTAGTGTTCGGTGAGGTGGAGCGAGGAAACCGCAGAGCAAATCTGTGAATTGAGGATGAATTTTTTGCTACAATATGGAAAGATACATGGGGCCGTACTCTCGACTGTCACAGCAGCCGGATTCCACAAAGAGACACCTCCAGCCTGGTTCGTCCACCCAGACTTGCGGTTCGCTCTTGAATCTCAGATCCCTTCCGAGACCAGCGCCGCCGAGGACACTAGAAGAAACGGGCGCTGCAGGCGGGCGAACACTAGAGGAGTCGAAAAAGTGCGAGTCTAGCACACTAAGTCTTTCTGACAGCACTCCACACACATTTTGGAGACGTTTGTCTATTGTAAGTGGAGCGAGGCAGAACTCTTGAATTCTTGAGAGTCTAGTGTACTGGAGCGAGACCCTATACTACTTGTGTGTGGTTGCATGTATTTCCCCATACCCTGCTGTATTGGGCCTCGCTGCACTACTCTCCACATGCAAAAAAGACAAAAAAAGATGGCAATCTATCTTTCCATGTTCTAGTGGTGGATTCAGTCTCATTTTGCACATTTGGAGAGTAGTGCAGCGAGGCCCAATATCTGATAAGCACGAGGCCGCACGACTCTCTAATAGTCTCTATGCTTCGGAAAGGGACAGGGCCCTATGGACCTCGCTCCACTACTCTCTCTACATGCACAAACGACAAAAATCATGGCGGTGTATCTTTCCATGTTCTAGGGGAAGATTCACTCTCGTTTTGCATACTTCGAGAGCAGTGGAGTGAGGCCCATTGTCTCTCGTTTGAGGCGCATCAACGCTCGCTCCACTACTCTTGAAATGCGCAAAATGAGAGTGAATTTTTCGCTACAACATGGAAAGATACATTGCCATGATTTTTGTCGTTTGTGCATGTAGAGAGAGTAGTGGAGCGAGGTCCATAGGGCCCTGTCCCTTTCCGGAGCATAGAGAGTTGTGCGGCCTCGTGCTTATCAGATAATGGGCCTCGCTGCACTACTCTCAATCAAATGTGAAAAACGAGACTGAATCCACCGCTAGAACATGGAAAGATACATTACATTTCCATCTTTTTGTCTTTTGTGCATGTGTCTTTATCTGGACCTGTCTTCCTACAGAATGAGATTTTATCAGACCGAGGGAAATACTCAGATTCAATTTCTGCCAGCTATGGTGGAAAGAACAAGGAAGAGCTAGGGCATCACCACACCACTCTCGAAATGTGCAAAATAAGAATGGACTTCCCGCTAGAACATGGCCAGATGCAGCCGCCACATTTTTGTCAGTTTCACATTTTGAGAGCGCCATCGCAAAAGGCCCTTACGCGGGACGGTACAGCTCCGAACAAGAGATCTTGAGCCCTCAGCGCATACAGAGGATCCTGAGGCGAAGGTGGGGTAGACTAGGGGCCTCGCTCCACTACACAATACTCTACATGCATTTCGACATTTTCTGGACTGGATACATTCAACATGTTGGATTCGTCCGGCTGCATGGTCCATTAAGCGTCCAAATGCATGTAGTCTGTTCTGTAGTGGAGCGACTCCCTAGTTCACAGAGATGGACAAAAGCTTCCACATGCCAGATGTACGGACGAAGAGGGGAGGCACCGGAGATCACTGTGAGATTTCGAAAAGACCAAACTTGCTAAAAAAATAGGCAAACCCATCCATCCCAACCCCCCCCCCCCATTTTTTTGCTGAGAAATCTCTTAAAAATCTCATGAGAAATAACAAATTGGGGAACCCCGTCAACCTTAGCTCGCGCCTCAAAGAAAAGCATATGTGGGTCATGCGGGGCTCCAAAAAGGATGCGGTGAGTGTGCCGCCGCATATGATGTAAGGGACGGTGGGCCCCGTATTAATAGAAACGAAAATCACACACAAAAAAAGGGACCCTGGGCCCAGTTACCTACCAGCTATAACAATTGGCAAATTGGTCGTTAGTAATTAGTACTACCGTACCGTACTAAATTACTATCTGTCAGCCCAGAAATGGAGTTCAGTTCACTGAGTACCATTTTTTGGAAGAGAGAGAGAGAGAGAGAGAGAGAGAGAGAGAGAGAGAGAGAGAGAGAGAGAGAGAGAGAGAGAGAGAGAGAGAGAGAGA